CTACTTCTACTTCTACTTCTACTTCTACTTCTACTTCTACTTCTACTTCTACCTCTACCTTTATCTCTTTTGCTTTCCCCCTTTGGGTTATCCCTGTCAAAATGTTATCATATTCAAGCAGCATAAAGAAGCATTCAGCAGCTGCCGCCTGCCAATGGCACTTCAATAGGCAATTGAGCTGCCATTTAAACGCTTGTCAAATGCACAAAGATAACTCTATCGATGTGAGTGAGAGAGAGAGAGAGAGAGAGAGTTAGAGACAGAGAGGCCACAGCGCTGCTTGCACTTAAGCCTTTCATTTTAGCTATCTGCAGCTTAATTAGCAGCAGGAGTAGATTCAAGTACAGCAAAAAAAGAAGAATAAACTGTAGCATAAGCTGAGGCGCCACAAGCAGGTAGCTAATTTCCGGTGCCTTTGGCTCAACACAAAAATGCCAAAAAAAAAAAAATAAATAAAAGGCATCTCAAAGTTAAGCAGCGCATTTAACGCTTCGGGCTGAGTGTTGCCAAAGAATTTTTGCATGCACAAGCAAAAGCTGACATCGCCTCGTTCGCTGCACTCGAGGCTGGCAAAGTGCCTGTCGCTACAGCCATTTAAGCCAGCAAGAAATGGAAAGAGAGAGAGAGAGAGAGAGAGAGGGAGATAGTAAGTAGTAAAGGAAGACTGTCCGCATTTAGCAAACGTTGACTTCAGCAACAAGTGGCTCCTCGGCTGGAGACCTGACAAAGGCGGGGGCATTGGAGGCGTTGACAAAGCAGGACATCTTTTGGGCACAGCCCTGACTGAGCACTGATTGAGTTAGAGTTCGGGTCGAGAGCCGAAGCTGGCTGGCTGGCAGCACGCTAAATTAAACAGCAATTGCAAACTTTCAGCAGAAACTTTCACATCATTTGTGAGTCCCACTCCACAAATGTGTGTATGAGTGTGTGTGTGTGCGTTAGCCAGGTAAAGACAGGACCTAGACATTACAATTTTATTTAGCATATGTGCTAAAATCGTATTATAAAAACCATTTCCGGCACAAAAGACACAATTTTGACCCTGTTGGGCTAAACAAAAATAATATTCAATTTTGAAAGCTTTAAGATTTATTTACATGCTTGAAAATGCAGAATTAATTAACTTTTGCTTAATATATGAACAATATAAATTTAACTCAACCACAAACTATAGGTTTTACTACAATTCATACACATATATATTAGACTCCCTTAATTTCACTTTGATAATCAAGAATCTGATCTCACTTAGTTACAATATGTATGTATATTTGTTTAGGAAATCATGTTCCTCAACTCTTTCCACACAAAGTGAATTATTTATGATGTTCCATATCAACACGCTGAGCCTAAACTCTTGCTTATCTCTATTTCGTATATAGCACAAACAGGCCACATATTATATTTTAAGCAGATTTGATTTTTGTTGTTTCTGGTATTTTGGTCATTATTATGCATGATAAGAATGAAATTGATAATGAAGCGATTGCAACGGCAACAAAATATGATTATATTAGTAAGATAGAAATATAGTTCCAAGGTGGGGGTGAATATACCATAGCATATGTATTATTATAGAATAAAATAGAAATATAGTTCCGAGGAGTTTGGGCAAGAGGGGGGCGAATATCTAGAGCTATCATATTTATTATTATATATAATAAAACATAGTGTTGAGTTTTACTAGGGGTTTTCTTAACAGAATAATGAATATTTAGAGAACGACTAAATTGAAACATTTTCCAAAAATATATATGTATATAGGATGTGGTTTTAGTTCAACTAAAAAATAGTAATAATAATCAGAGATAAACCATGTGTAATGTAGAGCAACAAAATGCTTCCACATGGCTGTCATATATATATAATATATAAAAATCTAAATAGGCTTTCATAATAGCACACATAGACGAATGTTGAATAAAACAGAGCATATCAACGAAAGAGAAAGAGAGAGAGAGAGAGAGAGAGAGAGAGAGAGAAACCCAAAGATTGACATAGAACGCGCGGAAGTATTGTAATTGAGTTATCATCAACTCTGGCCTCTAATAATTTTTCGTACGCTCATAATATGAGCTTATTATAAATTCTCGTCTTTATGGGCAGAGGAGAAGCAGCAGCAGCAGCAGCAGCAGCAGCAGCAGCAGCAGCAGCAGCAGCAGCAGCA